GTTTTATTGTATTTTATATTTGTATTTTATTGTACAGCACTTTGGTCAGCCTTGGTTGTTTTTAAATGTGCTTTATAAATAAACTTGACTTGACTTGACTTGACTAGAGTCTTAAGCGCAAGACATTTTGCTTCACCAAGGTTTATTAAGGTTTTACAGTAACAGGGCAGTTAATGCTGTTGAGAGTTTGCCTGAATAACTCACTCACCGGTAACTAACCTTCCCTAATACACACTCAACGTCTTTCATGCAGCACAACCAAAACAGTAACAATGTAACAGAGATCCTGAACACATCACAATAAAATATCATATGATATAATCACACACACACTGAAGTGTTTTTATATAAGAGAAAGCATGTAACCTATGTAGTTATAAGATTATATGTTATAAGATTGTGACACTTGCTGTATAAGATTTAATAATTAGGATTAATGTGTGATGTTTGACCGTGTCATGACCTATTGTGATAAGCCAGAGCAAGGGGTAGTTAGAGTCCTGACTGGCCTTTGGCCAAGACCTTGGCCGCTACCTGACCCCTGCAGCTGTGTTTGGATGGGTGGGAAAGTTACCCAGCAGCAGGAGGCAGGGATACTGGTCCCTATATATTAGATGACCAGAGGACACCCCCAGCTCGTTTTTCCCCTCTGCTGTTGATCTCTGTCCGTCTCTGTGTTGCTCTGCTGTCTGTGCTTAAGGCTGTACACCCCGGGGTTTTGCTTTGCTTGTATTTTTCCTGCTGTTCATATGATTCAGTGTATTAAACTCTGTTCCAAGAATTCTGCTCTTTTCCAGAGCATCTTTTTAAGTGTCTTGATTTTAATTGGATCTAAAAGAGTTGGATCTCCACATCGTTGGTGGGAGAAGATTATCAGGATGGCTTCAGAATTTGCATCCTGCAGCAGCCGGCTCGTGTTCACAGAAAAAAAGAGACAAATTCGATCACGAGCTCTACTTTGTTATTTCTGCAGACGAAGCACAAATCTTGTGTGTTGCAGCATCCTGGGGAAGTGAAAGCAAGGCTAAGCTAGGTTAACGATTACATTTGGTACAGGATTACAGTTACAGACTTCAGGAAATGAGGGTTAAATGAATTAAAAAGTCGTTTTTGAAAAGTGGTTGCAATACATCTTAGATCTGATGTTATGAAGAGTACAAACTCACATATCTTCCTCTAACGTCGCCACAGTCAGTTGACACCTGGGCGAGTCCCGGTGGCAGCGTCTGGGCTATGTAACCCAGGTAGGCGGCCAGAGCGAGCAGAGCGAGCACGCTGAGGCAGATGAGGAAGATGCAGCGTTTGGACAGGACCAGGAAGGGGCTGATGTAGTGTCTGTGACGCACATACTGCACCTCCTCCTCATCCTCCTCCTGTACCAAGTAGCGGTACTCGGTCCTCTCTGGAACCTCGAATGCATCCTCATTCATCTTCACTCTGGGTCAGGAAACGGAAAATGATAATGACTTCACCTCAGATCAGATCTCGTCTGCATGAGGGGGACACGGGAATTATGGTCGGTCCAAAATGCATGTTTACAGGTTAGACATCACCAAAACGCACTCCTCACACATCAGGAAGATTTCTATCTGATGCTTCCAGCACCACAGTCACTGGGATGATATCATTCATGCAATGAGCAGTGCCTGCTGTATAACAAATATGTGCTTTGGTTCTCCACAAAAAATAATGAGCAGCTTGATCAGAAGCCTTTAATAGAGATTGACAGACCACGTGACTTTCGCGCATTGCATGCCGGTAACTCGTGGCAAAACAATCCAAGTACCGCATCAAATGCAAGCATGTGCAGCATCGCAAAACGTTCATTCTCTGGCTCCAATACTTTCTTGCTTTTTCTTTGCCCCCCAAAAAAGTTATGTACAAAACAAAGGAGAACAATGTCGGTCCGTACAAAGACAGACTTGATGAAAAGTCAAAGAAAAGATACGAGGAAAAAACATCAAAGGAGTGAAAGGGTTAGACCCTTACGAGCTCACAGAGTGGACAAAATACGTTAGCGTGCTGCCCAACTTTCACCACGCTCATATTTATAATTATACGCTTCTTGGAGTGAGTGCATACACTCATGGAGTTTAGTAACTTTATGCACAATAAACAAAGGAGCATAGCGCGACAATTTCCGTTCAGCGCCAGACTTGCTTGTAACCTATATCACCAATTATGTTATGAAAAATTATGTATTAACTACAACAGAAGACTGACCTTTGTGGAAATGCTTGGAGCAGACTAACCTGTGAGCTGGATGTTCTGGGACGTTATATTTGGTCTTTGAATGGCTGCAATCCAGGCCATCCGTCGCCTCTTTTTACTTTGGAAACATGGCTCAAACAATTTCTCTTCAACGACGTAATCCGATAACAACCGATCTCTTTACCCGTCGGCTTCCCGTGGTTGTCATGTGACCGACTATTGCAGTTAAAAATACAACAGCTTCTTGCCATTTTTTGTGTTTCTTTTTATCGCTGTGTAACTGATTTCAATTGAAAGCCTGCGTGCGCTAGTACCTCTTGCCACGAGTTCCCAGAATTCTTTGCGGTTTTACCCTTGAATGACGTCACATTTTCAATCTCTATTGAGTTTCGCTCAAAACCAGCGGTCGTATATCTTCTATATAAAGTATCTCCGGTCCAGCTGACCCAACATTTCTGCAGAGAACTTCTGAAACATTCTTCCAGGCTTTTGTCAAGCTCTTGATTTAGAACCTGATTACGAAGTTATGACATTCTTAGCTTTAAAAACCATTTCTAAACTTTTTGTTTATACTCTCACTGCCTCATAAACAAGCTGAAGCCTCCATTTATGGCTCTAAAAATGAGACGCCCATGTAAAAATACCCGACTATAAAGCACTACAGAGAAGGTTTACAGCTTGCTACAAAAACACAAACTGTTTATTCTGTTCACAGCAGCTGTAAACGAGGTCACTCAACTGGAACCCGCTGTTTGTGCTGCTGGTGCCCGTTGGAGCCTTTTAATGTAATTATCAGACTGATCTGCTGTGTGGTACAGACAACCCAAGACATCTGTACTTTGGTTGTGGTCAGTGTTTTATTAGTCTGCTACTCAGCACTTACAGTATTCAAGTACAGTTTATGGCTGGAGCTTGCTAATCAGGGTAGTTAACATTCAATTCAATTCAGTTTTATTTATATAGCCCCAAATCACAACAAAAGTCGCCTCAAGGCATGAATCGATAACTTGGCAGTCCATGCTTTCATCCAAATAAAAAATAAAAACACACATGAAGGGTGGAGCTTAAAACTTGGAAGCCAGAAACAAATGAGTGATGTCACAGTGGCCCCAATCCTTCTTTTATGTACAGTCTATGCATACATCAGGGTGGGGAGGGAACAGCTGATTTTACTGATATGCAGTGTGAATTGTGGCACCATCTGTTCAGTTTACCTCAGGACCAGCTGTACAACGTTCCCTCCACATTCCCCCCATTCCACATTTGTTCCCACCAGTTTACAAAATAACAAGAAACATCAGGAATACATGTGCCGATTAACACAACTACTTCTACACAAACTCCAAAATGACTAACAGACAGAACAGACAGCAGCTGGAGTTGACTGAAATGCAGAATACACACTGCTCAAATCAAAAATAAGATTTTATATCCATCAAAACTTTGTTATCGCCGGTATTTTTCATACATTCAAATAATGAGAAGAACTTCTACTTTGTGACAGGCTACATGGTTACCTGGAGGGATGTACCACTGTGAGAGGGGGGGCTATGGAATAGTCCAAGTGGTAGCAGCTTTAATTTCCCGCTCAACCATAAATCGATGGTTTTTCAACATGATTGTTGTCACCTTGTCAACTATAAATAGATCAACAATCAACGATGACAGAACAACAGTGAATCAATGTTATTTCAATGTCAGTGTCAGGTTTCATCAGTATTTCAGTGTTGTTTCAACATTGGTTTTGTGTTGACATTTCAATCCTGACGATTCTGATGGTTCAGATGGAAAATCAACATCTGTTCAATGTCTCCTTGCTATCTGGGTAGTAACACCAGTCTTGTAAGTGCCTAAAGACACGATAACAACTTGGTTTGACTGGTTGAAGTGAAGTGAAAATGAGTGAAAAAGCAGCCAATTCCCACAGAAACACGTGAAAGCCTGATAACTATTGCTGAACATTAAACAAACACCAACCTCTGTCTCCCTGGAAGAAGAATATGAAGACATGAGGAGCGGCTGTCCGACACAGCACCGCAGACGTGTACCGAAAATACAAACACACAAAACGGGAAAACGAAAAAAACTGTGCGGGAACAATAACCGGACGTGCCAGCAATAAATCAGAGCTGCCAACAGGTTACAGCGACTTCAACACGTAGGCTCAGTGTTTCAGCTGCTCGGCTCACAGATTTCTCTCACAATCAACCCAAAAAGAAGACGAGAAGCTAAAAGAGCGAAATCATTTTGTCTGACGTTAATATGCTGTCAGCGCTTTTCCCTCAGCTGCAAACAAGTTGTTCAAATGTTATAAACAACTTGTTGGGCTGAAATCTGTCAAACTTGTTTCTCAGGATTAAGCCTCAAACAACATTCGTGTCACAGGTTAGAACCTGCGATCAGTTTGCAGCAGTGACTTTTATACATCCCTGATTTTTTAATCCGGGTACAAAGTGTCACGGTGACATAAATAACGCATAAAAACAAATCCCTTTATGGCAGTCGATGACTTTTGGGCATAACACCGTTCCTTAATCTAAACTTCCTCTCGCTCGACAGATTTATTACTAACGCCTCAGATAACTGCAGAAGAAATTAACATTGCAGTTTCTTAACTTACCATGTCCTATAAACTGCCAAAGAACGCAAGAAAGCACAAACTCTCCAAAAACCTCAACAGTTGACGCATTTAGTTCTCCAGTGGGCGGAGCGCGGACATTC